TATTCATATTTTCCTGCAGATATGTCGGTATATTTGACTGCAGCATGCTAACCCAGGCCATAATGGGATGGTATGACTTTCAAAAGAAAAAAAAATGAAACATGTCTGGCCCCAAAGCTCTCAAAGAAAGGACTGTGTTTTTGTGCATTCACAATGGAGAACTAGGCAGCCATCAAAAAAAATGAATGAGATGTGTACATATGTCCTGCTATAGAATGTTCTCCAAGACATGTTGTTAGGTTAAAAAAAAATCCAGAACACAACAATGTGTATGCCTGCTACAATTGTGTTAAAATGGGGTGGGGTGGGGCGGGTAGAGGGGAGAGGTAGGAACAGAGAAGGATAGATTGGAATATTTCTAGAAGGACACACAAGACATTGATTACAGCGGTTCTCTCTTGGGAGGGCAACTGGAGAGCTAATGTCAAGAGCACTGTAACCCCCTAAATGCCCTTTAGTATTGATCAGCCAGGTTGATCAGACTCTGTCTCTGGACTCTGGACTCTGGACTCAGAGAGGGAGCAGCTGGCAGAGAGGAGCATCAAGACGACAACGAGGTGCAGTGGCCAGAGGAGAGTGGAAGTGTGTCCAAAGCGGCACACAGACAGGGTTGTCCAGAGACCCCCCTCCATCCCAGGAGCACCCTGGATATCCTGGCCTCCCTCATTTGCTGTGTTCCCCTGAGATCCCAGTCTCCTCTTTTACTTGGAAAAGATGAAAGCAGTCTCTAATCCTCACACTGCAAGGCTCTGCATAACAGCTGGAAGGGTTCGTGTGTGCGTGCGCATGTGTGTGCACGGTTCTGCGTGCATGCGATGGGAAGGCTTAACGCTTTCTAGGTGGTTAAGTTAAAAGGCTTTTGTAGCCCTTTACAGTGTGAGCTTAGCAGAGGAGTGTGCTGTCAAGAGCATTTTCCTGAATCTCCAATCAACTGCAAAAGAAGGCAGTCCATTATCACAGAGGCCTGGCAGAGTGGTTTACTGTGGGGGCCCCAGAGCTGGCCTGCCCGGGGCTCACTTGCCTGGGGGCGCACAGACAGGAGACCGGAAGGCTGGAACCAGCCTAAGGTCCAGCTGGAGCAAGGGAGACCCCTTCAGTACTAAGTGCAATTGTGCTGCCTTTTCCATCCAAGGGCATGACTGTCTGTTAAATCAGACACTTTAAGGAATGATTACAAGTAGGTAACAACTAACATTTATGGAAAGTTTACTCTGGCTCAGGCACTTTATTACTGCCTTTATTCTGTGTACCAAGTCTCCAAGGTGGGAATTATCACACGAGGTGAGAGGGGTCAAGAGACTCTTCCAAGGTCACATGGCAAGGATTTGAGGCAGAAGCACATGGTGGGTATGAATTCAGAGTCACCGGGGACCTCCGTGGCTCTGCGTAGTAGTAGAAGGACAGGTCCCCAGTGTCATACCTGTGAGCACCACGGTGCTGGGGGGAGGGGGGTAAGTGATGAATAAAGATTTCTTCCTCTTCTGTGGTTTCTTTTTTTTTTCTTAAACACTATATGATAAATCTACTTTCTAATGATTCTTGAGTAAACTACAATGACCACAATTTCAAAATCATTCATAATTCATGACCAAGGGCCATAAACACTATATAATCTCCACAGGCAGGAGCCATGAATCTTTGCTAGAGAAGAAGCAGAGAATATTTTTACTGGCAATCCCAAAAGTATCTACTGACCAACCATCAAAAATACATTTTGCAGAAATGACTGTAACCTTCCAAAGCCTCAGTTAAAGCAGCCTCTTCCACGAAGTCTTCTCTCCCTCCTCTGGCAGCCACTGGGGCTTTGTCTGGGTCTTCTCTATAATGGCTGTCATTCACTTCTATGATTTGTGCCTGTCTGTGTCTGTTAGAGGGCCTGAGAATCAAAGCATCCTTGGGGTTGGGCAGGCAAGCAGTGCATGCGGAAACACCTGGGTGAGAACCATTAATACGCGTCAAATGCCGGTTCGCATCCCTGACTGCACATCAGAACCACTTGGGGGGATTAAAACATTCTGATGCCTGGGTCACACCCCCAGAGATTCTGATTTAACCAGTTTGGAAAGAGACTCGGGTGATTCTAACGTGCGGCAACATCTGTGAATCGCTGACATCAAGCACTCAGCACAGGGCTGGCACCATGTGGTCGCTGAAACCTGCTTGCTGTCCAGTCAGTTGTAGGGACAGGAAGGGCCCCATCGAAAGGGGGAGCATCCTCAACAAAAGCCATTGCCCACTGTTGTCTTATAGGAATAAGGACTCTGTGTTGTCATTCTCCATTTTTCTGAAGAAGCCAGACGCCTGCATTTTTATGTGAAATCTCCCAATTTTTTAATGTGGCCACCTAATTAAAAAACAATTGTAATAGGGTCTGGGCCGAACAAAACACATCTTTGGGCTGAATGTGGCCTGGCAAGCTCATTGAGAAAGCATCCCATCCTCCGTTTGCCGTGCTGGCCCATAACCACGCAGAGAGGTACCTGATCCCCACCCAGGATGGAAACTGCACATTCACCTGCCAATCTGTGAGCTGGCCCACACTCCCTACCACCGAAGAAACGTGACACATGTCCCTGTCTGCTTGTTCAACGGGCTTGTCTTCTCCTTGCCTTTCATGGGGACAAAGCTTCATCTCTACCTGGTATCCTGTGTAAGGCACAGAGTGTCAGAAAGTGCAGGTTTCACAGACAATGGAGTGGAGAGGGAGGCGGAAAGAGGAGGTGGGTGGGAAAGGCATGTTATAATATATCAAGATGAGCATCCTGGCAGCTTGCTATTAGTTTCTTTCTCTTGTTTTTCTATCCAAACAAAAGCCTTGTTAAGAGAGTCAGCATTCCTTTTGCAGAGGGCCTGAAACCATTTTAAATATTGTTCAGCGTTAAACCTGGATGTTGTGATAAACAACTCTGCTCTCCATTTTCCCTCACTTCAAGCGTTTTTCAGAAGAGTGATCTGAAATGCTCTGGGGCGACAGGTATGATGGGAGTAGCTGGGGAAGGGCAATTAGAGGAGTCCTGTTGCCAAGGAGAGAGAGGAGGGGAGGGGGGAGTATCTCAACTAGTTACCCGCCACCCTGTGTCATCCTCTCCCAGCGAATTTCTTAATGCGGATGAACGGGATGCCATTATTCTGTGACGAAGGTCTCGGTTAGGGTGAAACAATTAATTACTGGTCTGGGGGGTGGAGTCCCCACTCTTGGTGACTTAACAGAGGGAGACCAGATGCCTGCGAGTGAATCTGTGCTCCCTTTCGTTCTTGGAGCCACCCCCAGGTTTCTGGAGGGACTTTGTGGAGACAGGCACACCTGCTCCTGAAGCCAGAAAAATGCTCCCCACCAGAAAGGAGTGGGGAAAACCCAGCCTAGTTCAGTTTCTCGAGTGCCCACTGAGGCTGACGTTGAAGAGTTTTCAGGAGCATCCAAGTTCCTAAGTTATCCCCTAGTCCTCAAATGGGATAGACTGATTAAATAAGAAGAGAAGCCATACTGGTTGTTCTGGCTCCAGCCAAGAAAGGAGGCAACAGGAGAGAGGATGAAAGCTACAGCAAAGCACACATGACCCAGTGCGGTCCAACCCTGACCTGAGTCCTCAGAGCCGGCTGTGGGTGAGGCCAACACAGCGGAAGCAGAGGCACGAGAGATGCAAAGAGAAGGATCAAGTCTTATGGCCATTTTGGGGCCCTTCGTCCCAGCTGAGCCTGAGAAATCCCTTTTGTCTTTGGAATCAGGTCACTTTACGACCAAGAGTGTTGGGACCTAAGTGACGATGAGCTTCAGGATGGGTCAATATTTATGACGAGCCACTTGCCTTCACAGCCCTCCACCCATGTGCCACTAAATAAGACTCACATGTAAACTCCCAGGAGCTTGGGACCTGATCAGATGTCCCTGAGGTAATTTATGGGTCCCAGCCACCACTTCCCACCTCAGACTCAGTGAGTTTTGTTTGTTTGTTTGCATTTTTACTGAAATAGCGTTTTTTAAAAACTTTTTTTATTGAGTTATAGTCATTTTACAATGTTGTGTCAAATTTCAGACTCAGTGATCTTGCTGCTTTCCTGATTCATGTCTCTCTGACTTTGACCATGCTGTTTACTTGGCCTGGAAAACTACTCACTCCTCAAGGGTTGGCCTGCACATCAGCTGTACTGCAAAGCCTTTCTTGATACCCCTGGCAGAGGTAGGTGACCCCTTTTCTGTACTGAAGTTCCACTCTGGGTCCTTCTCTCACTGTACTGTAATGATCCCTTCCAGTTGTGCTGGGCACACGCTGGGTCAAGGACTGCCTCTCTTCCAGCCCTTAAGTCCGGCCTTGATGCAGGAAGCAGCACAGGTGGGCTTAGTGCAGTACGTCTCAAGAAAAGCCATGGTATTTTGTAGCTCTTCCCATTAAGAGGTGATGTCTGTTTCCCCACCCCTTGAATCTGAGTTGATCTTGCAATTTGCTTCAAAGAATAGAAAGTGGCAGAAGGGACACTGCCAGTTCTGAGTCTAGGGCTCAAGGGGTCCTGAGTCTTCCACTCTCATACCCTTGAACCCCTGAAACTCTATGTGAGCAAAACTGGCTGGCTTGTGGAGGATGGGAGAACATTGGAGAACTTAAGCATCCTAATGGATGCTCAGTCAGCCCCTCAGTGACACAGCCGTTAACAGCAGAAGCAGAAGTGAGCCCAGCTGAGGTCAGCAGAGCCTGGCCCATCAGCAGAGCCCAAATGGCTGACCCACAGAATCATGAACTAAACGCATGTTTGTTTTAAGTCACTAAAATCTGGGTGACTTGTTACAGAGCAAAACTAACTGATACATTCACTAAGAGATTATTACCACAAGTGACACTGGATTAATAACTCTAGTCACCAAGTATCATTGGGTTGGGGATTCAAGCTTGGGACTCAGAGAGAAAAGAATAGGAGATCCAAGAATACTTAATCACCAGTCTGCTCCCCCTGGGTCCCTTCAAATAGAGTTGTCCCCCACCAGCCCTCACCAGTGACATATTTACCTCCTTTTTCTCCCGTGAGCAGGACCGGCTTCTCTCAGCCTTCCGCAGAGTCTGACCTGCAGCAGTTCAAAAGCAGAACCAGAGATTAAGGCTGTTTTAAAACAGCTCATTTATCGCTGCAAAAGCTTTTTATTTGCAAACCAAATAGACGGGACCAATCATAATCGAATGATTTTAAGAAAATGTAGCTTATTATGATAATGGGAAAATGGCAGACTCTTGAAATAGACCGACGGCAATGAAATGGTAATTCACACACTCACATTATTTGACTATAATGAACAAAGCCTCCGCTCTTTAATCTGGAACATTATCTGCACTCTGCAAGGGCCGACAGACTGTAGTTTTCCCAGTCGAATTACATTTTTATTAAATTGTTTGGAATTGTATAAAATGCCTTCCACTGTGCGCATACACATAACCTTTGATGAGTGTGTGCCAATCCGCTGCACCAAACCCCCAAACTCACCACATAGGTGCTGGCGCAGATGTGAATTAGCAGTAATCACCCGCGTTTCACATAATGGGCAATTTCAGAGAGAACTGTTGCTTTTCTCGGAAAACTAGAAGAGTAACATTTGAAGGTATGCATACATTCCACAGATGGACATCAGAATGTTTAAATAAGCTGTTCCAAATGCAGTTTTCACAAATTTGATGGAAGTGTCCATTATATGAGGGTTTCTTGATGGAAAAATTAATGGATCGCCTTGGTTTTAAAACATAAAATGGGAGTATCACTGCACGTTGTCAGTGCCTCCCAAATTGTCCAACTTCACTCTGCTGTAGCTATTTGTGAGAATTCCACAACCACAGCTGGTGGGAACAAAACGGCTCAGTGACGACTTATTGAGAGGGAAGAGATGGGGACCAAGTCTCAGAGGAAAGATGTTGGTCTTCAGATATGGTCACTTCCAGGGGGCCCACACGTGAGTGGAGTGCAGAGAGGGGCTCACAGCTCGTGATAAAGCTCAGCTCAAGGGACGATGCTCTTTCCAAAAAAGTGAGAATAAGGGAAAGAGCAAAGGTCCAAAGATGAACTCTGGCACTGGCCAAACTTTGGGGCCAATATATAAGAGGATGTAGAAAAGCATCAGCTATTTACAGGAGACCCTGGGTGATCTAGTATCATGGTACAGTAGACATCTTTTGGGTTATCTGCTCAGCTCATAGTAACACCCTAGATGGCTCCCTTTTCTCTTTTTCTGCTCCCCATCCCCAGGGTGGGGCCCCCTGGCAGTCATGACTGTACATACCCTGAACTTTGTACGCTGCACTGGGGCTGAGCCCTTGACCCAGCTGCTGCCAATCAGAGCCCCAGACTCTAAAATTTGAAATTCACTCTGAGAGAGAGAGAGAGAAGAGAGAGGGCTAGAGCAGGGCTCTCCCTATGTGTGAGCTTTGACGCTGTGAGCAGCCACCAGCCACTGGCCTTGGGGACAGACTAACAGAGAATGCCAGGACAGAATGAACTGATCTAAAACCAACTGCATGCCTCCCTTCGCATTCCATAGGCATCCACTTCAATTTCGTTCTGTGTGTGTGTTTGCTTGCTTGCTCTTTTTTTTTTTTCCCCTTAAGACAGAAGAATCTAGAGTTTAAAGATGAAAAAGAGCCCAGGAAAAGATAGCACTGTGATGCGGGATATTGACAGTGTGGGAAGTTCTGTATCTGTGGACAGGGGGTATATGAGAACTCCCTGCACTTCCCAGTCAATTTCACTAGAACCTAAATCTGTTCTCAAAAATAAAGTTTATTAATTATGAAAAAAAAAAAGCCCAGGATTTAGGGATCAGGTGATCTGGGTTGTTGTGTCAGTTTTACCCTGACACCCTGATCCCTGAGGCTCTGAGGCATGAGCGAGGGTGACCGGCTCCCCCAGATTGTCCACACCTGCTCTGGCCATCAGTTGAGGACTCAGAACTGACCCTGTGGCCGACCAGAGATGACAATGTACCAGGTAGCAGGCCATGCGATGCAGAGCCAGGAGCTGGGAGATGGGCCTGGAGCTGAAAGGGGACAGAGCCAAGCCAGGCCCAGAGCAAGGGTAGGGAGTTGGAGGGAAACAGAGCTAGTTCAGGGGTGAACATGGCAGACCCTGGAGTCTAGCTGAGGCCCTTCACGTGCTGGTCAGACACAGGCCTGGGGATCCTGTCCAACAGACAGCTGATCAGGTATAAGATTTCAGATAAGTCACAGGATCCAACAGGTTCTCTCTGGGCTATATTTTCTTCCTGACTTTTTAAAAAATGAGAATTAGACTGAATCACCTTTGGACTCATTTTCCATCTCTAAAGTTCTGTTATACCAATACAGAACAGTAAAAAAAAAAATTAAGGTGGGCCATGAGAAAAATGTTAATACAAAGAACACAGAGGTTAACCATTGAAATTTGAAAGCAAATCTCTCTACTAGAGTTAATTAGAAGCTTCTTTATTCATTAAATTGGAAAACAATTTGCTTATTTTCCAATGAAGATAATTCACTCAATTATGCACATTTGTTATCTAATGCCTCTGTCCTCACACCGCTGAACCCCCCTCTCCGCCACGTAGCTCAATGTGGAGACGGTTCCTTCTCCCCAAGGACGTACAGAACCAGATCACACCGCGTCTGTCTACTGCACTGAGCTCCTTGGAGTAGCTTCCTATCTATATCTCATTTGATTCTCACAACAACTCGGGGAGGGGGAAGAAGGTGACATTAATATCAACATATGCTGCTTGCAAAATTAAGAGGGTGTTCCTTTGCAAGGTGACCTTCCAGCTTCAGCCTGGAAACAATAAATAAGGCCAAATGTAAATGCTCCGTGTGCACCTCACTTTATAAAACAGATGTGTGCCTGGGGAGAAGAAAAAAAAAAGTGACTGCATTGAATTTCTGTAAATATAATACCATTCTCCCACTGATGGTTTCAGAGAGATTTTATCTGCACTTAGGATTAATTTTCAATGGTGAGAAGATTCTGACACTTCAGTTTTACTTTGCTCTCAATGCAGATAATAATGTTCATCGCTACCATTTAGAGGGAATTTGCATCTTCCTTGGATGTTAGCTTATGAAGTCATCAGGCAAGGGAAAATCAGCGTCAAAATTACCCTTGAAAAAGAGCCCTAAACCTCCCGTAAAGTACCATCTCCAGGACACAGCTTTTTATATCCACAGATGTAGACTGACATGCCTGTGTAATATCTGGTGCATGTGGGACTACATGGTACCTGATAAAATATATATGCAAGATATAATTTGATGGTATTTCTAATTGAACCATTGATATTTTAATTATTCCGTCTATTTTTCCTCTTGGGGTAAGAGGTGAGTATTTGGAGTCAGGGCAAGAACCAGGCACTGAGTTCTGAAAGTTAAATGCTTCGTTGATACAGGTCCACCATACTGAACACCTGCTGTGGGCCAGGTTCCACGCACAGGCTTCATCTCCTGCAGCCTCACAATCACTCCTTTAGATCAGGGGTCAATACATTTTTACTGTAAAGGGCCAGAGAGTAAATGTTCTTTTTTTTTTTAATTTATAGGCCATAAGGTCATGAGGCTCTAAGGTCTCTGGTCCAACCACTCAACTCTGCCAGTGGACTGTGAAAGCAGCCACAGACAGTGTGTAAGCAAATGGGTGTGGCTGTGTTCCAATAAAACTTTATTCATGGCAGGGAAATTTCCTCAGTGGCACTCAGTGGCCACTCAGTATTGCTCAGTGCAGAGTGTGTGCTTAGCATGCACGACGTCCTGGGTTCAATCCCTAGTCCTCCCATTAAAAATAATAATAATAATAGTAATAATAAAAATAAATAAACCTAAATACCTCCCCGCCCAAAAGTGGTAAAACAAAACAAACAAACAAATTAAAATAAAAACAAAAACAAAACTTTATTCACAAAACTAGCTAGCAGGCCAGATCTGGCCCACTGGCTGTAGTTTGCTGACTCTTGCTTATTATGGACAGCACTATTCCCATTGGTACAAACCAATGAAGTGAGAAACAAACTGAGGGTGAGTGATTGAGCTGTTGTTCAAGGCCACAGAAATATAGCTTGTAAGTGGTGGGGCTCAGTGTGCTCCAAATCACCATCTCCACCATCACTATATCCGTCATCGGCATCACCACCATCACCACCACCACCACCACCATCATCACCACCACCACCACCACCATCATCACCATCATCACCATGTAAGCTCACTGTACCCAGGGTTTCCTGTGTGCCAGGCACTGAGCTCCAGGCTAAGTACATAATTCAACTCATTTACTCTTTACAACTACTTCATGGAATAGGTACTATTATAATCCTTCTTGTCGGAGGAGGGCAGGGAGACCCAAGAGGTTAGGACATTTGCCTAATATCGCACAGCTAGTGAGCAGAGGATCTTTGATTTGAATCTGGATGATTTGGCTCCAGAGCCTGCACTCCTAACCATTAGGCTACATGGCCCCTCAGTCAGATTAAAGATCTTAAGTCCAAGATGGCCAGAATGTGCTGGGGAGGGAGTTTGACTTAAGTAATTCTTTCTGTGATGCAGGTCTCTGATGTATTTTGGACTCCTAGAAAAATTAATAAGGGGATTAGAAGAAAAGGGTTCCCCAAGGTTTAAGGAAGATGGATTCCTTATTAGCCAGAACAATGCCATTAAATGCCAGATGTGGAAAAGCAGACTTGGTATTCCACACTCACTCCCGTCCACTCAGGCACAATGCTCAGCCTTGGCAGGCAGGGTTGGGCTTTGGAGAATAAAGGTGATTCAGTGGAAATCCTGAAGGTGAAGAGGGCCTGTTCAGGGACCTCGCCACTTACAAAGGACTTTTGAACAAACAACTTATTTCTCCCTACCAGAGTGATGGCGCTTCTACTCAGTTACTAAAATGAGCTTATTTCTTCTGCTGTCCAAATATGAGGGTTCATATTGCTCTCATTTTAGATATCTGAGTAATTTAATTTAAATGACAAATATTCCACTGAGATGCCGCTTAATCTCACCTATTGGATTGGCAAAAATCCAGAGGTTTGACAACATACTGCTGGCAAGAGCTGGGAAGCAGGCATTT